CTAGTCGACTAATCGTGGCAGCCCTAATTTATACCTCATTTAATTCTGTTCTTGTATTTACAGCAGTGAGCATGGACGTTATATTACTGACAGATACATGAAGGGTTATTTAGTGTTGTGAAGAAGAACTTTCACAGTACTCTTTACAGTCCTGTGAAGAAACAAGTGCACCCTAAATAAGAGGCAGGTGCTGATGATCAAATGTATAAGTGAGCCTGACTCCCTAAAAGCAGGAGGTTTGACAGTGTGCTGCATGTAGGTGTGTGTTAATATGAAGCCGCAGTCTTCCCAGGAGTGCACATCCAAACAGATCCACCCAGGCTCAAACTGTGCAAAGCTCAGACAAACAGCTACATCTGAGGCTCTACAGCTCTCACGAGTATGTTAAATGTAAAAGTTCATGACAGTTAAATCAAAAACGACTGAACTGAAAGCCTCATCTCTCTAAACAGAACATGGAACAAAGTCCTTTGGACAAATACGAGGACATGTTTGGCAATAACTGTGAGAAAAAACACCTCATCATCTGTCAGGCAGGGTGGTGGAGCGGTGGGCACCTTGTAGTCACGGTTGATCGTGACCTCCCCCGTACACTGAAGTACTCTGCAGTCGGTGTGTGTGAGATGGAGCTTGGCCGCAGGATAAAGATTCCAAGCACTCCAGGGCCAGTTAGTCCAGACCTGATTAAAATGCTCTAACATGACCTTAAGATAGATGAATGTCGACAGTCCTCAATGAACTGAAGCCATGTTGTAAAGAAGAGTGAGCTGAAACTCCTCCACATCGACGTGAGAGACTAATGAAGAAAATGATTTCTTCAAGTTACTAAAGATGGTTCTACACGCCAGAGAATCATGAGCTGTTCTTAGTTTAAACCTTTTTTCCAGAGGATCATATTTCTTAGATAAACACAGGCCTTGAGTGCTTTACATACAACGACTGTAATATATGAGATTTTTCTTGATTTTGTAAATTGCAATAAAATAATGATGGGTTATGAAATCAGACGTCCACTGTAAAAAAAAACAATACAGGTGTAAAAAACTGTAAACAACGAGTCAGCTCATCTTCCATCATCCACGTTTAATTTGCTTTCCGCTCTTTGTGCTTTTCTGATGACAGATGACCTTGGATTAAAGTAAACTCATGCTCAGCTCATGTGTAGAGACATGTTGTGCAGCTTGGACTGTAACTTTATGCTCTGAACTTGCTAAAGTTTGACCCTGACAAATATATAGATGTACTACACCAGCCATTAAAGTGAAAAAGGAGGATAAAGCAGGGTATACTTTAGGGTTGATTTGCGAGTTGCTAATCTGAGTCAGCAGATTGTATATTCATGTTTGGTAAATCTTTGCATTTGAAATGTACTTTTGAATTTTCTGTCTAGGCTACACGTTGGCTACCAAGCTGAGGAGGCACGTGAAGTCGGCCCACATGAAGGAGAAACCGTACACCTGCCACTGCGGCGCGTCCTACACTGTGAGACAAAGTCTGCTGAGGCACCAAGCTCAGCACAGGACAGACGGAGGAGTTCAAAAAGAGGAAGAAGAAGGACGTGGAGAGGAGATGCACACCAGAAATCAGGAGGTTCCACAAGAGTTAGCAAGTTCAGGATGCAGTCACCCAAAGCCAATCAGAGGCAGACCCAAGAAGAACTTCATCCCTCAGGGCACAGCAGAGAAGGACGGAGGTGAGGTGAAGCAGAGAAGATCACAAGAAAAAGGAGAAGAGGAAGCAAAATTAAAGACACTTGACTCCTCAAAAGAGGGAGATAGCATAGCTAACATCCAGCACGCCGTCGTGTACGTCCACACAGACGACCTGTCAGCGCCGAGCTCCACTCCTCTGCTCTTCACCTCGGAGGGCTCGCTGCCTGCAGGGACAGAACAGGAGCTGGTGGAGGTTTTGATATCGGAAAGCGCAGAGCAGTGCATTGTGGTCCACGGGCAGCAGGCGGTAGGAGAACTCCTGATCTTACAGGAAGAAGGAAGTGGACTCTGCTCTGTTGCTCAGACAGTAGAGATAAACACAGTGTAGCTGTGATCATGGCTTCTGAACCCTTTGAGGACATCTTTAGTATTTAGGCCCTTCCTCTAACCTACCTCATCAACGGTTTATTTATTTTGGTACGTTTTATTGCCATTGAACGACCTTTACAGAACAGCTGTGAACTAATTTGATGGATTAGCTGCCATCAAACGATGCACACTTACTTGTCTGCCTTCTGTACAGGAAAGTGTGTGTGTATAGAAAAAGCTCTGAACACGAGCGAACTGTTGGATTCTGTCTGACACCCAGTGCTGACATTTACTGCTGATGCGCAGCACTTATGCTGTAAAATTGGCATCAAATCCTCTGCATTTACTTGGTTATTATCTTGAGTTAAAAGAAACAAAATAAAAACAGGGTCTTGTCATTATAACCAAAGAGCTCAATCTTTGTCTCGTTTGACCATAAAACTTTCTCCAGAAAGCAGCTGCACATGTCAGTCGAGCTCATGTATGTTTTGTAGCTGAGGCTTCATTCTTGGTTGGCACAATCAGTCCATTACAGTAACTGGCTTCACTCGTGGTGCTGGTGCTCGAGCAGCTGCCAGTTCATGGAAGATTTAAGGCTTACTGGTTCCTGGGTTGTTCCTAAACAGATTCCTGGGTTGTTCCTAAACAGATTCCTGTTTGGGTGACAGATTTGGTCGTCCTACAGATCTTGGAAATATGCTGACACATCATACTTATGTCCAGTTACAGATCTGAGAGTCTGCAGTTACATAGAAACCATCCATGTCACAGTCTGGCTGGGGCAGACTGTATGTGTTTGCAAAAGAGGACTCAAACGCAGACCAAAAACTGAACGTGGTGTGGATTTAACAAAAAACAAGCCGTTTATTGAGGCTAGCAAAAAGGGTACAAACAAAAGGGCATTGGTGAAACTAAACAATAACCTAAACTGGGTGAACTGACATAGATACCTGAAGTTGTGACATGGATGAGCAGACAACCTGACAAAGAATGACTGAAAGCACACAGACTAAATACACACAGGAGGATAATGACGGAAGTGGGAACACATGGAGAAACAGCTGACACACATGAACATAACGACGTCACAAGGAGAGAGTAACACTAAAAACATTGAACATAGGAACACAGGACCCCTTCAAAATAAAACAGGAAATATAATGAGACGCAGACATGACAACATAAGACACACAGACATGAAACACACGAAGGGCAAGGGAGACTTCACAGGGGTTGAAAACACAAGGGGGAACTAATAAGCAAATGAACATAGGAAACCTAATAAGCTTAAACATACACTATAAACATCAAAAGAACTAAAACTCAAAACAATGGGTCATAAGACCCAGGATCGTGACAATCCATTAGGCTTCTTTTGATCGTGCTCTAAATTCTTGTTGTTTAAAGTTATTAAAGCCCAGACTTACCATGATATTCATGACCATGATGAGTGTATGCAAATTTTTGACCACAACTGTGTGTACATGAGGTTTTAGACGATGATATCGTTTTTGTAATTTTGCTGCTCTGTGACGATACAGAGAACTGTAAATCAAACAGTCAAAATATGATTAAAGTCCAGACTTTCAGCGTTAACTCAAGGGGTTTATCCAAAGTATTGCATTAACTGTTGAACTTGTCAGCAATAACTCTACCTCTCCATCGTTAAGAAAAACAACTTCACAACAAGAACATTCTTGAGGAGGTGGGCGTATCTCAGGCCGATCAATGTCTACACGTAAATACAGAAGATTTACAGTAAGGTGCAAACCAGACCAGGAAGGGCAGATTAGACTTTGGCAGAGAGCAGCTGTAACAGCTGACACAGTTCTGAGAGAAATTCTTTGGATGAAGAAGAGAAGAGTATGGAGCCCAGGGTTGATGAAGGGCTGTCATGGCCATCACACACTACAGCAGGTGAACTCTGAACTACGTACATTCTCAGAGGACTGGATTCAAATACATTAACTGTTGTTTTTCTAGCGAAACCTTCTACACTCGTTGTTCTGGGAAGGACACCTTTATATTATGAGCTTTGTCCACATGTTCTTTAATCACTTGAGGTCTAAAATAGGCTGTTATGTAAAATTCTGTCCTTGTGCTGTTGAACATGGCAGTCAGGCCTGCAAAGACAAATGATGAGAATAAATGGGTGTTTGACCTTTAAACTAACTTTTCCTCCTTTATTGTATTCTCTCTGCGTAGGATGCCATGTTATAAAGGTGCGCTTCAATCAGGGCTCCCACTCATCATTAAAGACAAAAGGCTGTTCGAACAAATGGGATCTAACTAATTCCCCGTTGAAATGACAGGAGAACACTGTGCAAAGATTTGAGGCCTGAATCTTAAAATAAACACTTCACTAAGACAATAGACCCACGCAGACGTATATACAGACAACTATTGTGAGTGACAAGGAGCCTGGACCGTAGGGATGAGCACAATTCAAATTTCCACATTAGGATACATGTTGTAAGGTGTGCTTTAGGTGGTGGCTATATATTAGGCTGTTTTCTCATGTAATAGGGAGAGGAAGCACTTGTGCAATTTCTATTTTGAAAAATGCGTTCTTGGGAGGTTAAGCAGACTTAAGGTCACTCACAGGCTTCAGGGCTTAAGGCAGTCACCATGTAATTGCAGTGTCTGTGGTTGGAGGCTGCCTGGAGAAATTATGTTGCATGTCATCCCTTCTCTCTTTCACCTCATTTCCTTCACCTTTCTACCATCGGCTCTGAAAAGGAATGAAAATGTCTCCCAAAGCTGCTGAAGGCAGGAAGAAGAATAGCATTAGAAAGTATCCAAAAAGTATCATTTTGCAGCCCATCAATTCAGACCCATTCAC